TTAATACACAGAAATGCCAGAATATCATCAATTATGGTTATAGTGTTAAAATATATAATTTTTACATGTCTCTTATTGCAAATTTCTATCTTGTATTTAAGAATTCTTGACTTTTGTGGTACTTATTTTTCTTTTTCTCTTATTTTAATGGGATTTCTTCTATTTGAAGACCGTCTTGGCATTAAATCTGATTCACTCCTCGTGTAAACGATGCCAAAAAAAACCCTGAAGCAAAGAGAAAAACAACGTATGAGGAGGTTATTTGTGGACAGACGGACTGAATGTAAATGGAGGAAAAAGGAGTCTGAGTGATGTATAGAAAGATAGAGGCCACTTAAATCCTCGGCACAGGATGGGACTCCACCCGAGGTCCCTTTTTTTTTTTTTTTTTTTTAATGATGAAAGCTGCTCCGTTTTAAAGCCGCATTCATCTGCACTTCCTGTCTTTTAACAATGCACTTCCTGCTCTCAGTTTCCTGCATTAAGGTCTTTTGGTAAAGATGTGTCCCAGTGGACGATGTGATTGATTTTTCTAAATTGAAATTCCTTCAAAGCAGGCGGCGGGAGGTTTGTTAAAGTCTGTGGATGAACGTTGGTTTGCTGATATAAAGAGTATTTTCTATAGATTGATGCCTCTGTAGCCCTTTCAGTTCATTTCATATCACGCATTTAAAACCATTACAAAATGAGACAAATCTGATATATAATTTATATTTAATTCAAGATTTAAGAATTTAACGCTATTATAAAACTGAGAACCGCAACTGCTTCATTTGAGCTGGGTTTTAGTCCTTTTCTTGTGTTTGTGTGATGTTTTTTCGTGTCAATTGTGTTTTAATTTCTATTTAAATTGTATCTGATGTGCTGTCTCGTCCTCAAGGGACTAAAATGTATAAATATATCCAAAATGGGGAAATTAATTTGTTGCAATTTGTTATTTTATTATGCATTTATGAATCCAACACAAAAAACAGCTTATTTTTCTGACTTTTTTCAAGTCAAAAATTATAAATACAAATAATAATACAATAATACAAATCTAAATTTGTATTATCAGGAAGTTCTTTGTCTTGTGTGCAGTATATACACCCGGGACGATGGCGGTACGTGATTTAATGAGTGAATATGAGCTTGAACATATAAGTATACAAGTATTTGCAGCACAATGTAACAGGAACGCTTCAGAACTTGCCTTAAAATGTTCCCGTTTTAACATTTCTTTACTATCAAAGTAATTCAGTGACAGTTGTCTGTACTTATAATGGTACACAGCAACATTTAACTGTTAATGGTAAATTCGGCACACTTAATTTTCTTAGTCCAACTCGCTGTATCCATGGCAACATTATACTTCCTGTTTCTCATATTGATTTGTCCACATGTATCTGCAACACACAAAGAAGTCATTAAATATCAAAATCAAACACGTCTTTGGTCTGTTTGTGTTTCCTATTTTTGCCTATTTCATTTTTCCTGATTCTGGATTCTTTTGTTGAAATATATAAAAGAACAAACGATGCACAAATTGAAACGAAACAAAAACAGTCAGGGAAGGAAGGAGATCTATAAAAATAGTTTGCCTGTGAAGACGAGTTTTAAGGAGAGACAAAAGATTCAGTAAATCTTGGGCAAGAGAGTATGAATAAAGGACAGAAATGTAGACGTGACATTAAAACTTTAAGTAAAGTTTTAATCTTTCTCTGTATTATTCGGAGGTTTATCAGTGAAGTTCTTCAGAGGTAACAGTATGTTAACTTGCTCATGGGTCACATCTCTCCCTCTTCCATCAGCTCAGTGTTGTTGACTTTGATAAACAACCTTTTTACAGACAGAAAACACAGCAAAAAAAGAGTCTTGTTTCTTGGAAATTAGTCGTATTTCTGTCCAAAAAAGAAATTGAAACTTGTGAAGTATGTTTTCCATTCTTTGCATGTTTTTTGCATTAAGAAAATATAACTTTGTCTTGATTGTAAAAGCAACGGTTTGCATAATATCCCAGCAGAGGAACCAGATTATTTTCATTATTTTAAGAGTTATTAGACCACTTGCACAACTTCTCAGTTTGAGAGAAAGTCATCTTGGTCCAGTGTTGGAAATGAAGCAGCTGTTGTCATAAAAAATGCTTCTAGTGCTTAATTTAAGATAAAGTCTTAGTTTTTATAATGCTCTAAGTATGTATGATAATTATTAATATTAGATTCTTATGTAACGTTCATCAACTCACCTTTTTGAGTTATGATAACTTCTAATAAAATTTTAAATTAGAGTTATGGGGAATTAACTTTTCCTGTTTTTTATTTACTACTTTTTTAAAAATTGGTGGCATAAACCGAAGTAGTTTCATAGTATTAATATAAGCCGAGGTTTCCCTCTTTAACCTTTTTATACATTATATTTCTCTCAACGCCCCGAACTCCAGCGTCCTCAGACCCAACAACCAGCAGAGACTCCAGGAAGTTAATGGTCCCAGCCAAGTCGTAACCCGGCCCATAACACCCATATAACGTGTTAATTTGAGGGTTTTTAGAGGCGCTAATAGGCAGATATTCAGACAGTATTACCTCTAGAGTCCATAACTTCTGCTACACTGTAAAAACCTGATGAGTTTGTTTAACTCAAACAGTTTGAGGAAACAGATCAACTTAAATTTATTAACTTTAAGCAGGAATTTTTTTTTATTTGAGTTCAAGTAACTCATTTATTAAGGTTAATTAAGTTAATTGTACTTAAAACTATATAATTACAGTCATTTAAAATGTTAACAGAGATTATCATCAAAATGGTAGCCAATTAATTTTGGGGCTCACATTTTGTGTAATAAGTCAAATGAAAGAAAATGAATCAATTAATAAACTGGAATTAAATCACCATAACTTAAAATAATTGGTTATTACTTAAATTCTTTAGTTTAATTAATGGAAATAAATTACTCAAAAAAAGGGTTAAAGTAAGTTAACTCACTTCTTTTAATAAGATATGTTGTTACAATTTACAGTCGACTTTTACCTAAACTTTAATGCATGCATATGTCATTTACTGTTTATCTATCTGTTCGTACACAGAACTGCAGCCTCTCAGCGTGGCTGTGTTTTCGCTTTGAACCTGGAAGTTTGGTAACTGTGGAGGGGCTTCACCGTCTGGCTTGTTTCAAGTTTTGGGAGATGGCGGGGGGTCTCTGGTTTGAATTATTACATTACTGTGCTCGAGGTGTCGTTTTCTTTCTGTTTGTCAGCTGTTTCACCTCAACTCCTGAGTTACCTGAGTCAGTCTGGATCTCCCTCGAGGTCTCAGTCCTCCATGTAGATGTGAGCCAGACAGAAAAATCAAGACAAAACACACGTTGGAAGGAGGGTGGTTGTGATTGTGATAGGGGTCCTGGTGTGAGAGGGTTAAACAAGGCCACAGGGAACTTGCTGAACCCTCATCTCCGAGGCACTTTTCATAAACGAATCGAGGTAGTTCAAGGAGGAAATTGTAGCTTTTTACCCCCCCCGAACATCACCACCACTCAAGTTCAGATTCTATTCAGCCTCCAGGCTCTCTCCTTGTAAAAGAACTCAATCAAAACCCAGCATATGGATAAAAGGTGTGATTGCTGCACTGACAGCTTTTATTTATTTCCCCTTTTTTTCATTTCAGACAAATCATGGCCAGACAGTTGAAGCCTGGCAGCTCCTCGGTCGGAGACGGAGAAATCAAAGAGCGACACAATCTCTGCATCCTCCTCACCTGCTTCTCTTTTTTATTGTAAGTAAAAAAATAAATTGACTATATGACTTTTTTTTTATGAGTGGCCAGTTGGGGACACTGAAAATCTTTGGGTTTAACGTGGAGGTGTCTTAAACCTGCAGTCTATGTAAAGTCCAGCAGGGGGCAGCTTCATTGGCTGCAATAAAGCGCCGATTGCATTGAGTCTTATGGAGAAATGAGCCAACTTCTCTCTTGATTTATGAGCTTTATTGAAGTAAACAGTTTCCTGAGGAGTTTATGGTCTCAATCTTTAGTTTCAGTCTCCTTTCATACACCATGATGTTCATCTAGTAACTGATGGTCCCATTTAGAGTAAAATAGACCATCAAGGAGGGTATGCTTTAGGGCGGGGCTACCTTGTGATTGACAGCTCATTCTCAGTGAGTCCGTCCAGCTCAACGCACCAAACTCAGATCAAACTGTCAAACTATGCTGATCAGATATGGATCCAGATTCTGTTACTGCGTTGACCATTTATCACTTAAAATCGCTTCAGAAGCATATTTTAGTGGACTGTTTAGCCCTCCTGACGGGTGTTAATGATGCTAATTAAGGTTCTGTTCTTCATATTGGTGATACACTAAATGGGACGGAGCCCATTGGTAGCTAACACCTGTGGTTACCCTACAATTTCATGTCTGGGGTTTGGACTTTAACAACGTAATCCGATACGATTACCTATTACATGTTAAAAAATGTAGTCAGTAACCTAATCCAAGTATCGCTAAATTAAAGTAATTTAAGTACTTTACTTTTGGATTACCTTGACACCAAAATATGTAAATATGAAGGAGAGATAAAATGTCAATTAGTGTCTATAAGACGACAGAACAATGAAAACTTTAAGAAAATCGCAAAACATTTTAAGATTAGGGTCTTGTGCTCAGTCTATTTTTAAAGTTTCTGTATTAAAAAAGGGATAATGCGCATTAATTATAACACAAGGACACTACAAGTCCACTATGTAAATGTGGCAGATTTGGCCATATAAGATAATTTCCATCTGCAGTCTTTGGCAGGTTAATTGGATATCAGAAACATAAAAAAAATACATAGAAAAGTAAAGTTTTTACTAAATGTTACTGTAATCTGTTTCTGTAGCTGTAATGGATTAATTACCTATTTTTGGTATCTTGATTACGTAACTCACTTATGTTACATGTAATCCAAAATTGCTGCTACGAGAAATAGGACAAATTAACGTCTCTTGTTACATAAAATGTGTTGATGCAAACAACAGTCACACGACATTGTGAGGATACAATACATTTATCTTTCTTTACAGCAAATATAGATAACAGAATACATTACATTTATAAAACAACTTTTACAACAACACATACGTGTGAATGAGTCTCTTAATGTGTATTCACAGGATTATATTAAAAGTGCAGTTTTAATTACCATTAATATCGAACATTTATCTTTATCAGTCTTCCATTTAACAGCCAAAGTGAGTGATAATAATATAGCTATATACACTTGAATGAGCTCACATTAGCTTTAATTAATTAAATGTGACTAAAAATAATTACAGCTCAAAACATTCAAGTTACAGATGGAAAAATAACACGGTGCTGCAGATACAGAAGAGATTGTGCTAAATTAAGTTGTTTTTTTTAATGGAAATTACCCAAAATTCCCTTCTTCCAGCTCCTAAAAGTAAATATTCACTCATTTTCTTTATCTTATACGACAGTAAACTGAAATTCTTTGTGGTTTTGGATGTAAACTTGCAAACTTTGCTTCAAAAAGAAAATAACTGGCACAAAAATAGTCTTTAGTACCTTTTTTCTTAAACGTAGTGACTTCGCTGTGATACATTTACGTGCATGTGCGTATTTTAATGCTGCAAATTTAAAGAGATATATTTACATAGTCTGACATGTAACATTAAATATTGAACAAGAATCTGTCTGAAAACTTCTGGCATCATTGCACGCCTTTACAACATCAAGACTGTCGCACATCACGCATTAAAATACACAACGGACAAGAAGCGAGGGAGAGTATTTGAAGTTTCCGTTAGCTTTGTAGCACCGGCAACGTCAACCCGGAAAAGTTTTATATTAGAAATGTACAGTATGGGTCCCCAGAAATTGGGTTAAAAGGTCAAATTCTGACTTTATTTATATCTTTAATTAGTTGGAACTTTTTTGGAATCAGGAAAGCTCAATGTTTAGACGTAATAATTCATTTTGTCATTGATTTGTGTCTTTTGCCGCTGAGTTTATGTATTAAACATGTAAATAACTTCCACAAATCCACTCAAAATTAATAAAAATCAGTCCAAATGGCCATTTTCTACTTGAAATGCCTGAATAAACCTCCAAATCAGGCTATAAGCAGTTGCTAAAACATTTTGTGTACAGGTGATTATGCTTATTAATGCTAATTATGCTAATTGTCCAATATATACAAGTTGGCGTCTGGCCACTTTCTCCCCCATACATTCACATTTCTAACATAACACTTAACATTTCCAGGTGCACAAACATCATAATAAACATCCACAGTCATAATGTGCAACAGGAAATAAACCCCACAACGGTCTATATGGGTGTAAAAGACGTGTATGCTAACGTATGAAAGCCAGTAGTTTGCTCCTCAGTGTGGACAGACGCTCACGACGCTAGCGGTTAAATTACAGTAGACCACTTCACCGAATCGGTGCCTTTTCAATATGTTACGTTACATAAATATGCATGAAAACGCTCTAATAATACATTATATTAAGGAGAAGTTTCTTGCACTTTGTTCTAACTGCAATTTAAAGATGAATCATGTAAAACCTTTAACTAAAAAGCCTTCAACTTGAAATATAATGACTGTAACCTTATTTTTTTGTAGTATTGTGACTTTTATGTCTAATTTAGATATAAAATACTTTCATAAATTCATATATGTTCGTTAAAATATACATTTTAGTTGTGTCCCCACTCAGTCCTGTTACGTCATTTTAGTGTTTTAAAGACAAAAAGTAACTTCTCTCACTCTAGTTTCTGGGTTTTCTATCATAATTATGACTGAGAATATCAATCTTACCTAAATGATCTCTTATTTGTTACCACCATTTTTATTTATATGTTCTTGTGCTATTATCACTGTTGTGTGTTCATGTATTTGCTGAAAACTGGTACGACAAATGTAAAATGTTCCACTTAGAAACGATGTAAAAATAAATAAATAAAACAGCCTGAGACAATGACACATTTTGGATAGCAAAGTTTTAAAAACTTTGGCACCGATCCGGCAGGAGTTGATTTGTTTTGACTGTCAACTACCCCTCAAAAAACCTCCAACTCTGCACTGTGTGAACCTAAACAAACCAACAGTAAAAGTTGCTGTGGAGTAAACTTTTCCACTCTGACTCGGACCAAAGAAAACAATCTACGAGGTGTGACCGCACCCTCGGATGAGATCATACCTTTCCTCTTTCACTGCTACCGGCAGATTAAGACCAGTTTGGTGCTTTCCAATGGTCAGGATGCAGGTGGGTACTGCGGAAAGCTTTTCGGGACAGGGTTGATGTCCCTAAACGGTTCCGAAAGACGTGGACCCTGCAGGCGGGAGAGCAGCGTGGTCCGGCGGATGCTGCTGTCCGAATCCTGGTGGACGAACTTCCTCCTTAGCGGGCGGCAGCACGGCAGGCTGCCGGCGAAGTCGGAGAGGAGGTGGCCGCTGAAGATCATGTAGATCCAGGGGTTGCAGCAGCTGTTGAGGCTCGCCAGCAGGGCGGAGAGCGTCACGGTGGCGTTCTCGGAGTCTACGGAGGGTGGTGGAAACAGAAAAAGATACAGATTTATGAGGCACGCTAGGGGGATGTCAACGGCTAAACTGAGGTTGTTTACTTTTTCTCTCGAGGGACTCGTACTGTAGGTCTGACTCACTGACTTGCCTGTTTGAGTGTTTATTCTCGCCTCCAGACCCAGTTTGAGCCTCTGCTTTCCTTTTCTAAACACTGCACAGGTCTGCAGCTAACAACTGGTTTTATTACAGGATAGTTTGACATTTATGTTGCCAATTGACAGTTAGCTAAACCACAACCTTGGGACAGTTGGGTCAAAGTCTAGGTGAAATGAAAACTTTCATATTAACCCTTTCAAGATCACATCTTCAGTTATATTGTTCCCATATTTGACAATTTATGCCAAAAAAAGTACAAAAAAAATCAATTTCTTTGTATTTTCATGTCGAAATTTAGTAATTTTGTCTTCTTGTGAAACAAAACATGACGCCTGCTTACGTGATTTCAACGAATAATATCAAAAGATTCATCTGTCAATCTGGACACTGGTTTCACAAAACACTGTGTATTGTGAGAGAGGAAATAAAACTTGGTCAAATTTGAAAGTCCAGTGTGTAGGATTTGGTGGTATCTAGCGGTTAAGTTGCAGATTACAGCCAACTGAAAACCACTCGCATCAGTATTTGACGACCTGGGAATGAGAAAGCGCTCCAACAAAGCATCTCCACAAAACACCTAATTTTAAGTTAACGAAAACACAACTAGTTTTATTTTCAGGTGATTATACACTAATGAAAACATAATTATGAATATATTATATTTCTGCCAATAGATCCTGAAATGTTTAACACTGGACCTTTTTTAAGTTAAATAGAAAAGGAACAAATGACAAATAATTCACATTTCTGTCTGGTATACATTTGCTAAAAAATTAGGGCTGTGAATTGGCAATAATCAGTCAACATTATATATGAATTATTATTGTGATAGTATAACAGCAAGGCGACTAGGGACTACAGATTAAAGTTGGCATATTAGCTAACTGTGGCATATTTACATTTAGGTGTAAACACGTTGATTAATGTGCATTTTCTCTGGTAAATAAAATATATAAAAGATTGTGATTTTTAAATAAGACCAGAACTGTGAGATTTGCACTTGTATTTGTCCTTTTAACATCCTACATCATAGCCCTTGGTTTACGTTTACAGTTCTATCTTTCTGGGCTTTAAACACAAAAATCAATTAAGTGTTTTTAAGAATCGATCACGAAACAAAATGTAACAACTTTCTATATTTTCTGACACCCCGTATAAGAAACACGGGTAGAAACTTGTTTTCTGCACAGCAAAATGCAGCTCAATTTCTTGGTTCAAGGACCTGAAAACTTTCTCTGAACAAAGGAGCACAATGATTGAGGCTGTGCACTCGGCGGGGAGTTGATGATATCGCCGCTCTCTAGAGGAGGTGAAAATCATTTTCTATTCCCCAGGATGAGTTTTGTTCTTTCATATCTTTAATGTTCGTACTTATACTTCCATTGAAAATCATGCAGCCACTCTAGGTTGATTATATATGATGTTTTGCCTCACGTCTTTGTCTATTTTGACTCTGAAGATGCAGTAGTTTTGAAATGTTGTAATCTGGATACAAAAACAAGGCAACTGTTACATGAAAAAAGATATGTTTAGTAAAAATTGGGATTATTTGCAGTTTTCTTTAAAAATAAACTGAGCAAAAGACATATTTGATGTTAATAATCTTGATTTCCATTTTATTTTCAAAGCTAACATTGATTATCAAATACACAAACATAAATACTAAATATTTATTTTTTGGTTTTTAATTGCACATTTGATGTTAAAGTAATCAAGTTACACTACTTTAGTTCTGTGATACCTTGATTACGTTTCTGTTTTATCACGCTACGTTTTCTTTAAAATAACCCAACACTGATCTGCTCACACAATTATATAATACACATTGGTGTGTTTTCATTAGCATAAAATCACCTGAAAACAGGCAGAAGCTCCAGAAACCTATTGAGTAACGGTTAGCTTGCCAGCTAGCAGTTAATTAGCGCTGTCACGAAGCTTCCTCCTCCCACGTGTTTCACATCACTTTGTTGTGTGACTGTCTCATTAATCCTGCCTACAAAGCTCAGATTGTCCTCGGGATGGTTTTCCAAACATCCATCAATGAGCACGACACCATAAATCCCATTTAAATATAAAGGAGAGATGTGGGCGGTGATTTAGGGTGACTAAGCTAATGGGTAGCTTGCCTGCTAGTGGTTCACAGACTAGCGCTGTCACCAAGCTTTTCCAGCCCCCACGTTTCATGTGGACGAGTCACTTTAATCCTGCCGCATTGATCCTGCCTACAAAGCGACGAAATGGAGACGTGGGCGGTGATTTTAAAGGTCTGGAATTCAATAAAAACATTTTCAGCTTCATTATCGAGCATTTCGGGGCTAAAAACTGCCCACTTTGGATCTATAATTTAGTTTCTGTTCAGTTTTTCATGCAACAGTTAAAGGTCGAGGTGAATCTGCCCTGAGAAACCGGTTCAATTTTAATTTCACTGCACACAGACAGGAGTGCTTTCTTTGTATTCTGACCAATTATTGTTGGATTGCTGCTGTTAAGAAGTTTCTGACTTCTTTTATGCCAGAAGACGACTGAGAACTCGATGTTCCTCTTAAAAAAAAAAAAAAACTATCTGGCAGGAAAACTCTTCGGAAACCAATGAAATTCTTCAGCTGGGTGAGCAGCTCCTTCAGGATGACTCAGGCTGCAAACTGACTCATATCCTCAACCCCAATGATGTAAAACTACACTAACTGCACATGAGTTTCAATGAAATGCCAAATATATCTATATAATATATCCTTTTGGGGCAAGTTTGGCCACATGCAACTGACATATTTTACACTTTCAGTGCAATTTATGGATTTTTATGTGTTTTTAATCGATAGTTTAAAATATGATGAACATTTTTGGGGGGCTTTTATCCACTCAGACGATCTTTTCTTTGAAGTTTTGGCCACATTTAAAGTGTCAAACTGACATATTTTACACTTTTTCAGTGTCTTACACATTTTTATTTGCTTTTTTTAATTGGTTTTGTTTAAAATGTGATGAAATTGTTTCAAACATAAATTAAAGATGCAGATTTTCTTTGGCTTTTATCCAAGCTACGACTCAGACGATCTATGCTTTGAAGTTTTGGCCACATTTAAAGACATACTTTACACTTTTTTCGTGGGACTTAAACATTTTACATATAATAGATAGTTAAGAAAGTTGTAAATATTCCACACGTGGCAAAAATAGTTTTCGAAGATAAATTAAAAATACAGATTTTTTTTTTTTTTTTTGGCTTCTGTCTCAGGCTAAAAACCTCAGACATGGCAGTCAGTGTAGTGAGACATTCATGTGGTTGTTTTTCCTACTAAAATATTGGCAGGTTGATGTTCTACACAAATACAGCTGCTTTTTCATTAATGGCATGAAAAAAATGTGGAAATATTTTTGCTTCGGTGCAGCACTGACTCAACTCCTTTTATAACCAGCAGCTACCAGACAGCAAGCGATGGCTCCCATATGCCTCCATTGTTTCTGATACAAATGCAACCAGCATTGGTGGAACATCTATTTGACTTAGTTCTTGATGGTTTTTAACTTTTTGGGTCCAGACTGAAATATCTCATAAGTATTACTTCAAATTTTGTGATCCCCTGAGGATGAATCCAAGTTAATTTTAGTCTTTTTCTGTAGTGCCACGTCGGGGTTTGAATTAAATATCTCAACATTTATTGGATTTATTGCCATGAAATTTGCCTCAGACATTCACGTTCCCCTGAGGATGGATTTCAAGAACTGATCTTCTGACTCTTCATCTAGCGCCATCATCAGGTCAATATTTACACTTTTTATGACCAAATAATAATGCTAATGATCCTAATTAGTAACTACTAGCATGCCAACACACTAAACTTAAGATTGTGGACATGGTACACAATATCCCCTTAGCTAAACATTAGCATTTAGCTCAAAGCATAGTCCTCAGGGGACATTCATATCATGGTACAATATTTCTATCTGCTTTTACTTTGAAAATCTCTGCATGAATACAGTAAACTGTACAATTCTGACTCGGAATAATTAATTAAATACTTAATAAATGCACCTATTGTAATTTGGTGACATTTTCTATAAATAATTGGGTTCATTATACAAGATTCTGTCATAATTAACATCTTATATAACTTATTTTAGTTCCTTTTATACAACTAATAGTTTTTAAAAACAGTATATTGCTTTAAGGACATAAACCCTTGATTATTCTGGCATATGTAAATGTTACATTTATAAATTGGCACAACACTTAATCACCTGCTTGGGTCAAATAATCTTAATTACCTTCCAAAATGATTTTAAAAAAATGTCATTTTTTTTTTTTTTTTTTTAAATAGGTGAATTATTCCCCCTCAGGCTGCTAGAAATTAATCAAATTTCGCTCTGATAAACTGCCAAAGGCAATATACATATATTTTGTAATTAAGTTATATGTATTTTAATATGTTGAATAAAGTTTTTTTGTGGCTGGAACACAATTTTGGTGCATAAAGTGAAAGGTTTTACCCTGAAGAGTGGAGCCACAAGCCAGAAACAAACACCATTGGAGATGTTAAAGCTCCTCTGAGCAGGTGGACTCACCGTCCCAGGAGAAGGTCTCGTCCCACACCGACCACATCTGCACGGTGAAGAAAGGCGCCCAGCACACCACGTACGCCACCACGATCACGAAAGTCATCTTCACCGTGCGTAATTTGGCGCGGGAGATGGTGCTGACGCTGCTGACCGAGTTCCTGCCCAGGATCCCGTTCTTGGTGGCCTCGGCCACGGCGCCCACGCTCTTCCTCCTGGTCTTATACTTGAGGTTCTTCCAGATCGTGTGGCTGATTAATCCGTAGCAGAACACGAGCACGGCCACGGGCACCAGGAAGATCCCGGCGGTGATCCAGGTGATGTACGCGCGCAGCCCCCACGGCTCCACGAAGTGTCCCCAGCAGTCGTAGACGGCCGAGCCGGGGTGCACCTCGCTCAGGGAGAAGATGAAGTACTGCGGGGTGCTGAGGACCAGGCTGCACGCCCAGGTGGAGCCGATCATGATGTGCGCACGCTGCGTCGGCTGATGGAGCGTCTGCAGCGGGTGGCAGATGGCGATGTACCGGTCCAGGGTCATCATCACCATCATGTAGGTGGAGGCGTACATGCCCAGCACCTGCAGGTGCTTCACGATGCGGCACAGAAAGTCCGGCCCGTAGAAGCGGAAGGTGATCTCCCAGCAGAGCTGCGGCAGCACCTGGAAGAAGGCGACCACCAGGTCCGCCAGGCTCAGGTGCTTCATGAACAGGTGCATGCGCGACGGTTTCCGCCGGGTTTTGTACATGGCGAGCAGCACGCTCACGTTCCCGACCACCGCCGCGAGAAACGCGAGGCTCAGGACGGTGATCTCGATCTTGGCCACCTCCTCGTTCCGTCCGAACGGGTCGGTGTCGTTCCTCTTCCCGCTGAGGTTCCCGGCGGCGGCGGCGGTCTCCAGCTGCTGCGTAAAGCTGAACTCGCTGCAGTTTCTGCCCGTGCTGTTGTCGGAGCTCTCCGAGGGGAACAGCATGGTGGCCACTTCTCCTCCGGGCGCACGGGAGGGTGGCTGTGCGTTATACCGTCACCACCGGGAGACTGTGGCTGCTCCAACAAAATTACTCCAACATGCACCGGGGGGTTGATCACACGTTGGATGCACCGCTCAGAAACAAAAGAAAGAATTATTGTTCCCACCTGTTGCGCACAGAAACTCCTGGTTTGAAGACCTCAATGCTGCAGATCCAGCCCCTTATAAAGGCTCCTGCCCATGAGACACACACACACACACACACTGTCGTGTCGTCGTCGGTCTCTCTCTCTCTCTCTCTCTCTCTCTCTCTCTCTCTCTCTCTCTCTCTCTTCCTGCCCACCCATTTAACACTCCAGATAAAGTGGAAGCCTGCAGGGACAGAGTCTTTTTTAATTGTTTTTTATCTATCTGTGAAGAATTATGGAAGATAATTTTGCCCAAAATTAAAATGCTAAATGAGAAGCAGGCAAATTGAAAAACGGACAAAGTTATATATTTTATTAATTATTTAGTGTTTTAAATGTTCTTGTGTTTTCCCCAGTTTGGTGAAACAACCTGCGGGTCATATTCATTCCCAACCAGCACATTTTCTAAAATAATGAGCTTTATAAACTATTTCTTCGTCTTTCCATCACTTCCTGTAACGACTGCAACAACAAGATCATCATTTCTAACGTCAGAAAACTCTTGTTTTTGTCCAACAGTCCAAAAAAGCCCCCAAAGATATTACATTTGTAATAGTAATCAAATTTATCACTTTAATTTTGATTAATTTTCAAAATAATGTGCTAAAAATGGAAAGAAAAGACATGTATTTGAGCTATATAACTTTATTTTGCTTATTTTCCTCGTAAATATTGCTACATGTGACATGTTAAATCAACATGAATATTACTGTAGCTCAAGTAATTGCCTAATAATTTCCGCACTTAACTGCAACATTTCTGGAACACATCTCATTATCATCTCATTAACGCCGACTGACTCCCTCACCTGAATGTTGATTCAGCCTTCCACTTGTTCTGACCGTGATATCCTGTGTGTGTGTGTGTGTGTGTGTGTGGCATTTTAATGGTGTTTACGTGGAGATGACCTGATAACCTCGGAGACGGCGCTTGTTTTCTCAGCATTGAGTGAGAAACTAAACTGCTGCTCTGCTGCAGAGAAAGTGGGGGAAAAAAGGTATCAGAAAGGTTTCACAACAACCTCCTGAACTCCTCTTCATTTAGTATATTTTAGTTTATTATCTTTTGTCATTTGACTTAATTAATTCCTTTTATAACCATTAAAACCTGAAGAGCTGCTCGTCCTACTTTTCTTTTATCAGCTTGGTGTGAAATTTGACTTCTGTGTGAGAATGGAGGTGAATACATGGAAACATGCTGACACCAACACATATATGAGGAGAGGAAGAAGAGGGTTATAATTTCAGTTTCTTCTGTTCCTTTTAGCCTCTATTTGGCAAATTGGCGCCATTAAAAGTACAGCAAAGTAGCCATTAGCAGCTCCCGTTTGCAGGGTGTCCTTGCAGTGCAGAGGCGACTCTCACTGGTTTTGTTTGACACTGAAGAAAACTTAAAAATGTGGTGATTCTCAGGTTCTGAGTTGTCTTTTTTTCTTGATTATATAAGCAGATGTCTGGATGTTAATTGCCTGATATCAGACGAGGGTTGTCAGCTCATTACCCTCCGTTGGAGAGTGGGTGGAATCAGAGATAATTAAATCCTCCGCAAATGTAAATTATATTTTGATGATGATTAGATTACTCAGTTATGATTCACCTCACCTTTCCTCCTATATGTCCATAGATCGTAATCCTGTATTTCCTGAGGGTTAAAGGACCCCGTGGTTATCGTTTAGTGGCAGCTAGCAATGAACTAGCACCTCCAACCAAATATTTAGTTTACATTCACCTCAACAGGCAAAAATTAACACCACTAGTTAGTTTTTGGCTTGAAAATTGAGTTTGTAGGATTTGGTTGCAGCCAGCGGTGAGATTGCAACCAACTGAATACCCCTCGCCTCGAAATTTGCAAGCTCGAGCTAATTTATATCATTCGCTTAAGAAAACTAAAGTGCCATTTTTGGATTTAATTTATTATCAACCTTTACGATCGCTGCCACGACTGTCGGTTAGGATTCATAAATGAACTTAAAAGTTAATAGTTAAGATCATTTGTTTCCTGGTTTTACCAACAAAATATGTCAGAATAAGATTTATATTTATTAAATTAGTTCAGAGATCTCTTTATTATTAACTGGCATGCTGAATGTCATTCCTCCATGCTTTGTCTATCATATTGAACCAATGCTTCATCTATAATATAAAGCTATTAGTGGAGGTTCAGGACCAGAACCAGACCCATAAGTACCCTCCTTTAAACTCTCCTTTCCTCATTAATAAATGTAAATAAATAGCTTGTTGAGGGTGTCGTCCTTGCTAGTGAAAGGCCATCTATACATGCTGTCATGACACTCACACATTATGAGTAATGAGAGGAAACAACCTTTTCTTTTTCGAGTTATAACTGGTTGTTTATCTCGTTATGTCGGGACAACAAAGCTTGTTTTTTCCAGATAACCAAATAACTGAATAATGATCTTGAGATGGCAAATTTCACTTCTTTTGGAAATAACTTTATTAACTTTCTGGTGAAAAGTCAGAAGATTATAAGATTGATACCACTCTTGTGCTCCAGACCAGGCCTTTATTGGAGACCTGTGTTTATTTGTCAAAACCAGGCTTCTAAAGGAGACCTGCTTCTATGTGGGACCCTGCTTATTAACTCTCTGGTGAAAAGTTAAAGATCAGAAGATCAATACCACTCTTATGCTCTTGAATATGAGTATGCAGCCAGTTAGCGTAGCTTAGCATAAAGACAGGAAACGGGTGGAAACAGCTAGCCTCCAAAGTTCATTAACTGACATGTTTTTATATCTTGTTTGTTCAATCAAAAAAAAATTTTTTGTGTAATTCTACTGGTTGCCCCGGCAACGAATTCAGGAAGTAAACAGGAAGAAACAGTCTGACAAATTGAAGCTTATTTTTCTATTAATTTTTTGCTTTAAGAATAAGAGTAAAACATGGGTTTCTTGTATACTAACAACATGTAGTAACACCTTTTCTTTAAACGGTTGCTGCACTTTGCTCGGTGGGAACAACCTCGTATTCTCCGCTGTGGCAGAAATCCATCTTCCCACCGTCCTCTTGACACCCGGAGCTAAAGCACGCTATTAAATTCTTCCCCTCGCTGCCTTACAAGGCCACAACTTAGTATCTTAATGTTCAATCTATATGCAAGGAGCACGAGTGGAGGGAGAGATTTCAAAAGTCACAGAGGCCGACTGTGTTTTTCATGTCTAGTAGTTGTGCATGCAGAGCCAGCTGCTGATGCAGACCATTACATAATGTGTTGTGGTTAAACAATGGTGGGTAATGGTCGGGGCTGTCAGGAGTTATAGATTTATTAACGCTGTGATTATGAAACCTGTCTAACTCGCATAATAATGATGCATAACCCCGGGGGCTGGCGTGGTCACTGATAAGAGCTCAGATACTGGCACACATGTGAGATACAGGCATGTAATCACAAACACGCTTTCGTTTTCTGGGGCTTTTATTTTGGAAATGCATGTTTTTCCACTTGGTTTGGTTTTCATTTTGTCATAAAACAACACACTACATATCACACTTATCCAAAATACTCACATAAATTCAAACGTGGAACGTGCGGCAACACAAAATTATACAACGTATAAGCCAAAACAAGGTAAAATTGAAGCGTGAGACAGGATTTAAACACTAAAAAGTGAAGTAATTCAGTGGTTCTGGCCTGACCACAGATCATAATAACAGTAAAGATCAGTAACAGGTTTATCTCTTTAAATAAAACACATTTTTACTCCAGGAGGCCTGTACTATAAAGCGAGGTTATCCAGAGTAACTCTCTGACGTTGGGTGTAACTTCCAGGTTTTACACGAGACATGAATTATCTGTGCATCTATGCATTTGCTAAGCTCCTTTTTTAATTTTTTATGCAATTGTAGGTCATTCGCAATATGAAAGTACTTCAGTTAGGTCTATATACAGAACCAGGGGGCTATAGACTTGCATTCACACATGTAGCCCTCCAGCCTCCCTGCTTTGGGGAGTAGAGTTTAATTAAATACATGGTACACGTTTCCTCCCAGGTAATTTTTTTATTTTTTTTTAGGCTCACAAAATCTTTCTCGCTTTAAATCCCTGTTAGTTAATTAAACAGGGCCATTTGTGAGATATTTTTCTCATTAATTTACTGCAGTCGTCTTTAATCATAACACAAACAAAAGAAGAGATAAAAATATAGAACCTACGAATATGAATTTACTCTGACGACAAGCGAGATTAGTCAGTTAACTTTTTTTAAACCCCTCATAATAATGATGATTATTATTACAAATTCTCCTGCGCTGCTGAACACGCCCCTTTTATGCTAATGCTTAAATAACTAACCTCTTAATCACCATTGTAGTACCGTTTAACACCAGTTTAGGTAATCAGTTTGTTTTATTGATAACCTCAAGTTTATTCTGAGTAGGTTAAACTCCCGTCGTAATACAGTCCTCTGGTAAGAAGTTCCTACATTTCAGGCCACCGCACAACAAACAGATTTAGATGTAAAAGAGCCAAATATGCTCTAACTGTGCTGCTTCTCCTGAGTTTTGTTAAACAAATTTGACAACAGGTAACTTACGGTAAATTTCAAGTTGTACTTTTTTTCACTGTGTGCGCCATCATGACACTTGGACATGAACATCGTTTTACAGCGATTGAATTGTGGAGAATCTAACAGTAATGTTTGTGTAGGCAATCTGAACGGCTTAAAACTCGCTCAAGCAGGTGGGTTTTAAGAGGTTTTATACATCCAGATACTTTCTATAAAGTCCAGACCAGGCCTCTATTGGAGACCTGCGTTTTATTCGTCAAAACCAGGCTTGTAAAGGAGACCTGCTTTTATTGGAAGCAATAGTAAGTACTTCCTACTAGGTATTTTGTTTTCACAGTACAAATAAACTACAAAATTAAGTCAGTGTCACATAAAATTTACTAAAATGGGCGCCTGGTTGAATCCGACCTGTGGCCCTTTGCTGCGTGTCATCCCCTCTCTCTACCCCCCTTTCCTGTCTATTTTCAGCTGTCACTATCAGTTAAAAGGCAATAAAAGACCAA